GTGATGCGACTTGAGTCTTCCTCAGCTCTGCGAGAGCTACTGACCAAAACCAGAAGTAAAACGGTGACAGATCGGGGCTTTGCGCTGGCCAGAGGCGGGCGGCGAGGCAGCTGATTTTTCGGTGCAGGAACTTCAAATCCAGCCAGTTCCTGGTGGTTACAGCCATTATAGTGGCTGTTTTTGATAACTTGTAAGGCCTTGGCTATTTCTGATGTTGAAATTAGCTTCCTGTTATCTTCAAAGACCCTCAAAAAGACCCTGACCCTTTCAACGGTTTCCGCCGAGAGGTGGGGGACCCCGTCTTTTTTGGACTGCGACCGGCATCGAAGGAACCCTTTTAAACCTCTCAAGAAGCCCTTTGAACCTTTTATAATCTGGAACGTAGCGAGGTGAGAGAATAAAACGTTTCCTGAAAAGTCGGCATACGGTTTCAATGTTTCTGATGGCACCAAATGTAAGTGTAATTTACCCCTCCTGTTGCGGTGTAAATAACCTGTTCTTGATCTGCATAAGGAAAAAAAACGACTAGTAACTTTGGCCTCCTGCCCTCACTCCGTACGAGTGTAAAATATATCTTAAATGGACAAAGCATAAATGTCCAAAAAATTGCAACCAAGCCACGTGCGCAACCACGTGATTTGCATATTTTATATAACTTTAATAGGCATTTACTTTTTGACACTTTTAGTGAAACACCCTGTAGCAATGATACCCTTCTGTGACCTTGACCTTAGAGCAGCCTTGTATCGTAAGATGAACCACAAATAAGGCCTGATAAGCTTCAAAACATTTCAAGACATCTTGGAATTCAGTATACAAGATGTAAAAAAGTGCAAAGTTTAACGCCAATATTGAGCGTGACCTTGACCTTGGTCTTGAATACTGAGCAAACTAGTAGGGGAGAGCGGGGCCAGTTGAAACACGGGGTCAGATGAAACATGGCTTTATTTTCAACAGTATGCAACATATGGCGTTGCCGACACCACTGCACATCCGCGCTCGACCACTTCATTTGTCAACGGCGTTTGGGCGGCAAACGGACGGTAATTTTGATTTGACACTTGTTTTTGTGTTTTTGAGGGGCGTTTGGGAGAAATCGTTCTTATGAATATTTTGTGATATCTCATATACCTTTGTTTGCTGAAAGAAGAATTCCTGGCTCCGGAATAACACCTTATTTGGCCCTTCATTCAGCATGATGCCGTCCCTCCAGCTCGTTTGACATGTGCTTTACGGCGCGTGCGAGATGGCGGGAGGGGATGGGGTCAATTGAAACGCTTCTCTGAGGGTCAGTTGAAACAGGGCCACAGGCCGTTTCAATGGACCCCGGTGACCTTTGCAATGGTTATTGTTCAGGGGCTGTAAACATTAAAGGAAATAGTCCACCTTTGAAATGAGCTTTTAAGCTGAAATAGTAGTTTAATAGAGCTCAACTTTTGACCCCTTTTTCTCCAGCCTTTTGCTTGAAAGCACACTATAGCCTGAGATATTTCTCATTTTTCTCATCCGCCCATTTTACCATAGTCTATGTACTTTATGTCACCTATTATGAGGAACTTTGCACTTTTAGCTTTCCAATGACCTATTGAATGTAGCATTTGGAAAAGTAAACCGGACAAAATATCTCCTTAAGAAAGTGGCCTTAAAGAGGAAAACATCCCATTGTTAAGGATAGGTGCAATTGACCCCATGGGCTGGTTCAATTGACCCTCGCATCGGGGTCATTTGAAACAGGCGTAGAGCTGTTTTATAAGCATGCGTTTGGCAGCAAAATATGTTTGAAACATAATTTTACATATCTTGAAATAAAGCCAAAAGAGCATATTTTTTCATGGCATTGAGCATTTTTCGATATGACAACTAGATCTCGCTGTGCATGTCAATATATAAAAAGTGGTTCAACTGGCCCCGCTCTCCCCTAGGGCACTTGAATATTGGGCACCTATCGGAATCTCGGATACTCTTCTTTCGTTTTACACCTATTTTTGCTGGTTTTATGCATCCTGCCGTCTTCTGAAACACTTATTTTGATATTTTTGGGGGGGGGGTGATGCAACCCCTTCAAAGGTTTTTCGCGAATAACTCGCGTAAAAAGCGGCCGATCGCGACGAAACTCTCAGTATAACCTCGCATTGATCAATTTCACACCTACCCTGAAAATTACATGACCCTGATCCAAATGATCTTTGACCTGTGACCTCTTTTCCGAGACCATGTTTGGCCGGAATCGCGATTCGGCGTATGTCGGCTCGCATTATAGCCGCGCGTTTGCAAGCTTTTCGTGGTTTCAAACGTTCAAACATGTGATTTGATGTTGCTCCCATGCATTAGGGTGGGTGTCAAGGTCACCTGAAGGTCAGGTCAGTTCACTGACCTTTGGTGACCTCGGTTCACTTTTTCGAGTTTTACATGTTTCTAGGCTATAGTTTTTGGAGCTGAATTCGAATTTAGCAACCATTTGAACATTTATGAAGTAGTTTTGGTGCCTTCGTAACATGTTACGAAGCTGTCAGAGGCGGATGACAGGTACTACGAAAACCCGTCACGACCCCTACCGGTTGACCTGACCTGACCTGACCCGACCTGGTCTAAACGCTTAACGACATCTCCTGTGATCAAAACTAACACGATATTCGTGATCAGCACCCTGGAAAACCTTTTAGGCGCAACCACACTTTACGACTTTCTAACAGGCCCCGATATTCCCGATTTTTGGGTCATTGACCTGACCTGGAAGGTCAACCGATGACCTATGACCTTACAATTGGGTATCATTGGCTTCCTCTCGTGACGGGCAACACGCTCGTTTTGTCTGCGAAGCTCTAGCTCCATCAGGGGCCAAACGCGAGGGGGGGGGGGGGTCGTCCGTCGAAGGACTCAAAATGGCCTGTGCCGGCGAGGGATAAAATTGTCTTGTAACCTGTAAAGAACATTCCGTGTCGTACCGCTTTTGTTTCCGTAGTTCCCTTATTTAAGGAGTTAGACGGGGGAATGCCTCTTCCCAGGGGCGTCGCCACGGATTTTTTAGTGGGTGAGGTCGGGTTTCCGGTTTCGTCTTGATGGGTAGGGGTATTTTTAGTCACACTCCTGTTTTTTTTCGTGTGTTTTCAGGTTTTTTGTGTCTTTTCCAGGGAAGTTATTGGAGCAAAAATTTGTCAAAGCTAAAATGTCCGATTGTTAAGCTAGATAAAATACCATGCTGAATCAATTCTTTTCATTACAGAGATAAACTTTTGAGTGATAACATTTGATGATAGGTATAATGATAGTTTTTTTTTTAATTTGATGATTTGATGATAACAAAATGATGACATTTGAAATCCACCAACTGAATAGGAAGCTCCATCCCTGTCGTTTGCTACGTTCAGAATTTTTTTTACGCCGTGGTATAATGGAATCTACGCTAATTTTGTTTCTGTGTTGCGTTTCAGGACGCGTCAGGATCCCGATAAGATTGGCTAGTAGGTATAATAATTATTGCAATTGATGTCAGTAACTAAAAATTTGTTTCGAGGCTAGCCGGACCCATTTAATCAAGTAAGACAGATTTTCCCGGCCAGCATATGCACCGTTTCGATGTGCTCGTTGTGCCGTTTTGATTATGCGCGTCGCGCCGTTTCGATTACGCTCGTTGTGCCGTTTTGATTACGCCCTTTGGCCTATAAAGCTGTTTTGATTGTACGCTTATTTTCTAGAGGTAGGTGAACGTGGTTGAACTTTACTTTTCTGGGACTTTTTAAATTGTTTTTAAATATTCCTATATTTTGGCATTGATGTGATCATAGCCCGTGGCTGAAAATTCATCTAAAACAAGCAATACCTACGTAAAAAGTTTAATTTTGTAAGGAGGTCATTCAAAACAATCGGGTTTTCTGGGACCGTCAAATTCCTTCATGAGTAGATCACGCACTGGCAGACCATAGGGCGCCATTCATTTACGACTAACTATGCACAATTATAGACGCACAGTCATTTGTTTATTCATTTATTTATTTTCCTTGTGGTGGCGATTCCCCTAAGCTGGTCCCGAGGCCAGTGAAAGACTGCTTTCTGTACACTGATGTCTCAAATCTGGACCCTACGCGTTTCACTTGAACGTCTAAGAACGATAAACTGTTATTAGCTTCCGTTTCTTTTGTGAACCTCATATTTGGGTGCTGAAGATTCAGGTAAGTGAGAAACTTGTCGGCATGGGAGGGATGCTGAAAAATAGCGAAGCAGTCATCTACATATCTCTTAAAGTATACTGGACGGAAATCATGGGCCTGCCGTTAGGTCCTACCTTTGCAAATGCATTTCTTTGTCATCATGAAAAGAACTGGATAGAAAACTGCCCATCTGATTTCCGTCCAGTATACTTTAAGAGATATGTAGATGACTGCTTCGCTATTTTTCAGCATCCCTCCCATGCCGACAAGTTTCTCACTTACCTGAATCTTCAGCACCCAAATATGAGGTTCACAAAAGAAACGGAAGCTAATAACAGTTTATCGTTCTTAGACGTTCAAGTGAAACGCGTAGGGTCCAGATTTGAGACATCAGTGTACAGAAAGCAGTCTTTCACTGGCCTCGGGACCAGTTTCTTTAGCTTCTTCCCCTAAGCTATATAATCGAAGTAAACGAAAGTTGTCTTGGCACCGATTCAGTCAAAGATAGCCATAAAGTAGGTAAGAGAAAATCGTGCCATGACCCAAAGTAAAAATAAAAACACAATAAAAGCACACATCGCATAAGCATTGCAGTCCGTTCAAATAAGTGACGATCAGCAACACAACCAGGCATCAACATGTGCTAGTGTTGGTGGCAGATCAGCGAAATCAGTAGCACATTGTTAGGATCGGTAGCATGATAAGTGAATTACTGCTTTCCCGGCAAAATATGATGCGACGAAATTGCCACAGCTCTGCCGCAGGTCATACTACGGAGTACGGACCTCATGGAATCATAAGGTGAATGGTGTGAAAGTATGAAATTACGAAGACGAAACTCATCAATTCATCCATGGCCCGTAACACTTCTCATTGCACTTTTCCCACGAATACACAAACAACTTACGAATCATCCCCACAATGCATTGCATTCGGCTCATGTGTGCACTGTGCAGGAATACCAACTTTCACACACTCACTCTGTGCCCTATTGAGGCCAGTTTCAACAATAAATTATGGCCGGCCGTACATCAACGAACGCATCCGGCAGAATTATGCGGTGAATGAATGAAATGCAAGTTTGTCGACAGGCAATCCTTTTGATAGCGTCTCAGTGGTGCAATACTCCCCAGAGACCGGTGACATAAACCGTAAGTCAGACTACAGACTGCAGATCAGGCTGCAGATATCAGACTATCAGACTTTCGTTCGCAGACCAGCAGCATAGCAGCAAATATTCGGATCACAGACAGACTAAACTAGGCCATAGCCAGAAGGGACGTCCTGGCTTCTGCAGTAGACACCCGTGGAAGACGGGTAGAAGAAACCAGGATTCGACGAAGCACTTGGTAAGCGGATTTCCGCAAGTCGATTGGGCTGGTGGTAGTTTGGGTCTGCGAAGATCGGATGTGCTGCCGCCGAGAAGCATCAAAGGTTTCGTACTGTCTGAAAACAGAATAGCACGTATTAAACATGAACACAAAGCTTAGAATAACGGACTGCAAAGGATAACGGGTATATCTAAAGTGACAGAATTTGTGAGTGACAAAATTGTTATAGCGGACATTTGAATGTGGTCCGTCCTATCGGCTTATCTTATGCTATGTCTGCCAATAGGCATTGGCATGAATAACATACGAGTATAATGTATATTTGGCGAACAAAAAACATTATTAGGGCAGAATTAACCGTTTTCACCACGGCCATCTCGTACACATCTGGTGCACATTTGGTGCAGATTAGGTGCAGATTTGGTCAAATCAGGTTCAGTGTGTCTCTTACTAGCTATCAGCTAGGGTTGCACTAATTGCTTATATGCCTGCTTTGTCATATTATAAGATAGTATCATCGACGAAAACACTGAAATAAATTCATAAAATACAGATATTTGCTGTAAAAGAGATTAGGTGCAGATTTGGTCAAATTAGGTGCACTCGCCGAATAGCCCGTCGTGAAAACGGCCAATATCTACCTATCTATTTATTCTGAGGAGTGAGGTGCCACACTCACCTTTCTCCAGCTGATCACGCCGAAGACTGCTCCGGAACATCAGGCTCGTCACCAGACAAGTCTTCTGAGACGTCGTACGCTTCCACAGGTATGACGTCATCCATTGTTGGAGCGGTGACGTCACCATCCTCTGTGACCTCTGAGGGGACAATGGTTTCGGAGTGGGGAGGACCGTAGCCAGTTGGCAACTCCTCATCGACACTCCGATCTCCATCCTGGTCTCCTTCAGCCTCCTGGGCCTCTTGATCCTGGAACTCATGGTTATCCTCAGTTCCTTCTTCTTCAGTATTCTGTCCCTCCATGGGACCGTGCTGTTCTTCAAAGTTTTCCTCTTGATTTCCTTCTTCCTCTTCGACGTCCGCGTTTTCAGGGACTTCTTGGTTTTGGAGCTGATCCTCGAAGGTGTCGATGTTCTCCATACCGTTCATTTCATGTTCTTCGACTGATGCTACGCCTTCTTCAGAAAGTACGTCCACTGCTTCTGCTTCTGACTCTGTCGTTGGTGACATCACACCAGCAATGTCTGCCTCGTCAGCCTCATCCATAGGCTCAGATGCGATTCTTATATCAATATCAGGCATCTGCGCGATATTTTCAGTAAATTCAGGAACAATTGACTCGTCGGAAGGGATATCATCACTGACAGTTGATCCTGCTTTGGGTCCATCCTCGGCCATTTGATGTTCCTGTGGCTGATAAAAGTCCTGGCTGAAGTGCTGGTTGACGTCTTGCGCGTTCATGTTTTCCACGAAACTGTCGTCCTGTGACGTGACATCTTCTTCAGGAGCTCTGTAAATTACATTGGTAGGAACGACGGTGTCGATCGTTGGCTGGGCTTCCATATCCTCGCCAAAGTCTGCCTCTACATCCGTCGCAAAGTCAGCCTCTGAGACGTCCCCTTCTTCTTGATACTCAGCTTGAAGGGTCCCACTGTCTTCAGCAGCCTCGCCGAAGTCCTGTTCACCCTGTTGAGGAGAGAACTGACCGTCAAAGCCTCCGCGCACGTCAATATCACCCACGAACGTGGACTCATTGCCCTCCGACATTGTCATTTGAGATCCTTCCATCTCTTCAGCCTGATCTTCGACAGTTGAGTCCTCCTCACTGCCTGGAACGCCCTGGAATTCGCCGTAAGTAACGCCATTTGCTGTTGCTGTTGCTGTTGCTGTTGAGTCCTCCGCAAAGACTGACTCTTCGTCCTCAGCCAGTACGGAGGAAGGATGAACGGGCCCAAAGCCTTCAGGGATTGAATGAGGGATGTTTTGCACAGGTTCAGCGGAGTTGAAAGCAGCATCGGTCGCATCAAATGACTGCGGCTGCTGTTCAGAGCTAACAAAATCAAAGTCGAAAAGTGGTTCTCCGCCCTCATGCTCTGCTTGATCTTCAGAATTACTGTCGATCTGAACAAAAGGCGAGCCTTCTGAGACAGCCATTTCATCATTGACCATTGAAGTTACATCGTCTGATGTGGGTACGTCAGGAATGATGTCGGACGGCATGACAGGCTGATGCTCGTCGTCAGGAGCGTCAAAGCTCATCGAGTGAGGCTGCCGACCGTGGGCTACCGCCTCTGATGGGACCATTTCAGGGTCAGTACCAGCCAGGAATTGATTGGCATCGATGTCTCCCGCCGTGACCACGTTCGGGTGGACTATGTCGTCCGTCATCTCAGGCACTTCGTGCGGCATCTCTGGCATTCCGTCTGTCATTATAGGCATGTGCGAGATATCGCTTTGCATATCAGGTGTGTCTTGTATTTCTCCGCTGTCGCTATATGCTGGGGTATTGAAGTTATTTGCGAACTCAGAACCGTCAACCATCGCTGGCCCCTGTCTGATCTTTTCTTCTGTCGGCATTTCCATCATGTGGGAAGGTGCAGATTGAAACAGATCGATGGTCTCGCCCTCAGGGTTAGACAGTACTTCTTCTGGCGCCACCGAAGGAGCAATAAATTCAGCCATTCCATTTCTCTGGTCTTGATTCTCAGGTGCTCTGTTTACGTTGATGTCGTCTTCGAGCGAAATAAAAGAATCGAGGCTACCCTCCTCAAAGTCTGAGGGCCCCGGTGAGGGTCCGAAGCCTTTGGTGTCCGAAGGAGCGGATGGCTCTGGAATGAAGAGGTTTTGTTCAGGTCCTTCCTCACCTACCGGGGAACCGTTTTCCTCCGTCGCATCGGTTTCGACGCTGCCGTCTCCGAGCTCCTCGCGTAGGATAGTACCAACGTCAACAGTATCTTCAATGTCAGAGGCGGCACCAAGGCTCTCCAGGCTGTCACCTCCCTGGAATGTTACCGCAGATTCAGCGGCGAACTCCAGTGGTCCTGGGGTCATGTCCTGCTGCGGGGCGTCGCCCTCAAGGGGGCCGAATCCTTCCCTGGTCTCTGTTGCTACCCTTACATCCACTGAATCTGCCAGAAGAGACGGATCAAAGCTCGTACTGTCTACAGGTTCCTCGCTCTCCGACGTGAAGTCAACATCCTCTGTTGTCTGAGGCATAGCGGGCTCCAGCTGGAAGATACCTGCTGGGAACTCCGAAACCACTGGTGACTGTGCCTGGACCCCTAGAGGTACGTTTATGTCGACATTTTCGCTAATAGCAATTGACGGCGCTGTCATGACGGAACCTTCCTCAGGCATTGGCTCAGCGGTGCTCTGGGACATCTCAGAAAGCACTGGTGAGAGTGAGACAGGTTCCATGATCTCAGGAGCTGACTGGACTTCGGACGTCTCTTCAAGCTCTTCAACCCGTTGAGTCTGTTCGGGGATGATAGGAAAAGTCACTTCGTCTGCTACGGGTTCAAGCGATTCCACTTGAATAGGAGCAGCATTGGTCAGTTCTGGCTCAGTTGGAAAAACATCTGTCTGGTCGTGCTGTGTATCTACAGGCATTTCGGTATCAAGTGCTGTCACAATCTCAGGAGCAACTGTGGCCTCCTCATTTTGCAAGACATTAGATATATCTTGGTTTATAACGTCATGCGGCTTCTCCACTTCATCCACTATTTCAGGCTCTGCCTCGGCTCCAACACCACTACCAACGAGGAAGCCATCCTCTTCCACGATCGCTCCATCCATACCATCTCCCTCGGCAGCCACCAGCACATCACCGTCTTGCATCTGATGAGCAAAGTCGTTGGCCGTCTCTTCAGCAGGTAAGACAGTCGTTATCTCAACAGGCTCTGGTGTCGTGGTGTGGGGCTCCGTCGTCGTGGTGAACGGTTCTGGCGTCGTGGTGTACGGCTCAGGTGTCGTTCCCCGTCTTCCTCCAGCAGGCCGGCGTCTCATTCCAGGTCTCCTACGGATGGTCCGCTCTCCCGTAGCATCTGCCGGCCTGCGACGTGCTCCCGGACGTCTCCTTCTGTGCGTCTGGCTGGCGTCACTGGATCCGGACGGTGCACGGTGGGTGATTCGTGTGCCAAACTCTGGCGCGAAGTGACCAGTGGTGGAGTGCTGGTTGTTACTGAACGGAGATACCGTCGTGCGTCTGCGGAAAGGCGGGAAGGTGTAGGGCTTTCGGGTCACTCGGCTAGATGGGGATCGAGTCGATGGGGAGGACGTGGGAGCAGTTGTGGTGGGAGACTCAGACAGCGCAATTTGGTGCGCAGCGTCGGCGGTTGTCGGTAGTGCCGTCTCGAGAGCTGCGGTAGCCGTAGGAGCTGCTGTTTCAGCTGCCGCAGGTCTGAAGGACTCTCCTGTTGGAGGGGTGGGTGGCAGCTCTCCTGAAGATGACTGATCAGCTGCGGCTGTAGGAGCAGGCTCCTCGGACTCGCGTGTGGTTGACAGTGCCGGTGATGTCTGCACCTGCTGCGGCATCGACTCCTGTGTCGGATCAACATGGCTGCCGGTCACACCCTGAGTAACCCTGTGTCGTCGAGACGGTCGTGTGGGACGCGGCAGGTACCCGGGAACCCTCCTCCGTCCGTGCTGCGGCTCAGCTGGTTGTTCCTCGGACTTCACCTGCTGTTCCTCGACCGGTGCCTCGGGATGTTCATTAGCTGGCTGTCGGTGATAGGGCCGAGGTCGGGTAGGACGGGGGATGTACCCAGGAATGTTGTTCCTGTCAGGGAAAAGAGGTGCATTGCTGGGCGCAGGTGTAGAGGACGCGTCCTCCTCTTGACCTGGTCCCATGTCGTTCAGTGCGGGTCCTTGGTTGATGAAGATGGCGGGCCGGTAAGTCGTAGTAGTCGTGTGAGGTCCTTGAAGGTGCTCCCTGTACGGGTAGGGCCGCGGAGGTCCCTGCGGCTGGGGCTGTGCGTGCGGCCGGCCCTGATGCTCGGGTCGTTTTAGCTCCGGTACTCGTGATGTGGTATAAGAAGGCCGCTGTGTAGTCACCTGGTTGAAGTCATTCTTGAAGAAGGTATTCTGGAATTCATCGCCGTTGGCTTTGTTGAAGTGTTTCTGGATGACCGGCCGACGGTTCCCGAACTGCCTCTGAGGATGATAGTTAATTGCGCGCCGGTCGTTCATCTTTTCCTTGTCGCTGAACACTTGCACGTCATCTGTAACATCGCGGTTCAGATCGGCGATCTCGGCGAAGCTCCCAAAAGCATCATCGTTTTCGTTTTCCGGTGACAGCAGCTCCGGAGTATGCTGCTCAGTATGAGAAAAGTCGACCTCAGGCTGAGGAAATTGTGTCTTCAGCTCGGGAAATTGGGGTTCGTTGTGGGAAAAGTCGGTATTAATTTCAGGGAACTGCGTGCGGAGCTCAGGGAACTGGAGAACTGCACGCGTGTCGGAGCTGAAGGAAAGATCAGGGGCAGTCGGAGTCTGGAAGGTTGGGTTGGAGTCCAGTCTACTGTAGAACTCGTCGTCACCTGTCGAGAAGAAGTCACCCTGGGGGAAGATGTTCGGGTGGAAGAAACCGTCCTGGGCCTGAGTGTCTGGCGGAGGGCTCTGAGTGTCTGGCATTGTCTCGCTCAGTGGTGAGGAGTCTACAAAGGTATCAGCATCATTCTCAAGTGAGGGAAGAGGCTCCCTCTGTACACTTTGCTCTTCAGTATTCACCGAGCCTGGATAACTTTCAGGGATGTCCGGGAAGCTTGGGAACCCAACTACGTTGATATCCGGGTAAGCGCCGTCTTCCTTGAAGTTCTCAAAGTGGCTGTTTGCCGGTCCTGTTAGCAGTGTTTCTGTGCTTTTATCGTCCGTAACGGGAGCAAGAGGCAGGCCACCAGTGTGACTCGTGGATTCACCATTGCTGAAGGTTCCTGAGTTTGAATGATTGTCGAAACCCTCAGTCGTGTCGTCGGACTTCATGTCTTCCATCATCGGCGGCATTGTGGTCTCTGTGTTTTCCTTTACCATGTTATGCATCGTCTCCGTGCGGTCCTTGGGCTGGACGTCGTCGATTGACTCCATCGCCTCCTTGATGTCGTTCATATCCAAATCCATGCCTGATTGCATTTGCTTTCCGTTCATTGGCTCCTGTGCCCCAGGAATCATGGTGAAGCGCGTTTCAACGGGATCATCGAGAAGCTCCGAGCCAGTGTGATCCGGAGTGATGCGGTTTGCACCGCTGTCATTACCAAAAGCAGAATCGTCTTCCTGATTGCTGTTCAAATCCTCAGCGCCTTCTCGTGGGAATGTAAACTTGGGGAAGTTGGGGAAGTTCCTGGTGTCAAACATCAGGGGTTCGTCGTTGTTTTGTTCCCCAGTTGAAGCCTCAGTGAAGTAGCTCTGGTCTGGTGCCCCTCCCTGAGACGAGTCCATCTTCATACTGTCGAACGGGAACTCCTCGAATGTGGGCTGACTGACTGCCTCCGCAGGAGGTGATCCGGCAGAAGGGTCATCCGGTTCGCTCTTAGTCTCCTCGGCGTCTTGGATAGTCTGCAGATACGGCACGCGCTCTGTCTGCGGGATGGACGAGAAGCCACTGATGAGATCTCCGGGACGTGCGTTGTCGACAGGTGTTTGTCCCATGGTGCTGACTCCTGGCGCCGCCTCAACATCCACCGAAGAACCCACGGCAGCATCGATGCCCTCCTTTTGTCCAAACTGTCCGGAGCTCAGCTGGTCTTCTGCAGCTTTTTCAACATCCTGCTCTTTGACAGTCAGAGAGTTCGGCATGTGCTCGGATTCGTATGCCATAGCCGGTTGTTCGCTACTGGTATCCATCATAGACGAGTGCTTTGCACCCTCCAGACCGTTTGCTTTTCGCCCAAACTCCCCTGCCAAACCAGGCGCCAGAGCAGCGTCCAGCAACTCCGTGTCATAGCTCTGAAGCATCGGCGGACCCGCCATGGCCAGCACGGTGTACTTCGGAAGGCGCTGCTCACGCGCAGCCCTCGCGTGCAGAGGGGCTGCCCACATGACGTCGTGGGCATGCGCGGCGACTTTATCTGGGAGGAGGGCAGACATGAAGCTGCGGGATTCCTGGCGAACCATTTCAAAGACTCGGCCATCGCGCTGCGCTGGCGTTTCACGGTGTTCGGCGGTCAGATGGGCGCTGTTTGTGATTGGTGGAGTCGGACTGGCGTAGGCTGATGACGTCAGCCAGAGGAGGAGATGGGTCGTCAGAAGAGCTGACAGCAACCGCGCCTGGGGAAAGAAAAGGAAGTGGTCAGTGAAGTTTACAGACGGAGTTTGTTTCGGGGGGGGGGAGGGCGGATGAAATGGTCAATGAGTCGGCGAAGTAGTCCGATCCGATCAATGGTATTCGATTGACATCTCCAGTAAGCTAATGATGTGCATGGAGCTATGACAAATATTAAATAACACACTAAATAGTAAATTGCCTTTGTCGCCGATGCGTCTTAAAACCTATACCCCATCACAAACAGTGGCGCGGGAACTACTTTGTGTGCAGGCTGAGTGCATGTGATAGTGAGCTGGTAAAAAAGACTGAAAATATTCGAGTGTAAAATACTGTTCTCGCCCGAGGCGCCACTGGCAACAGCAACTGTACTTTCATTTTAGCACGTAGCTCTGCGCAAGTGCTGAAACAGGCCCGAATGATTGTTTGTGTGACATTTGGTTGTCTTGCCACTGCACTGGCTGAAATCATCAGTATTTAAGAGTATGGACCCAGAGTCTGAAATAAAGCTTATCTATCTATCTATCTATCTACTTTCAGACGGGGGGACACACCATCATAGAGATCAACCTAAAGCAACCCCAAATCTAGTTTTCTCACCGGTTTTAGGTCACTTATTTTTCATCCCTTGGCTTTTTCAAAAAAGGAAAAACTGCAAAAAAGCGGTATTTCGTCTCAAAGTTGTGGGGGCACCACCCCAGAGTTTGGGGGGGGGGGGGCAAGCTGGCCCCACTGTCCCCCCTCCCCCGGTTCCCGTGCCTATGCTCACAAATAAAACATAATATATTAAGTACACTTTCAAAAGTCAATTCGATTAAACCTCGGTGAGGAGTGGACACTACTATCCGAAAAAGTCTGTTCAAAACTCAATCAATCGTGACATTTTTGTCGTAAACAAAGTTCGAAGACCATTACGAATCAAAATAGAATAGCTATAAGCGATGCAAATCAAGCGCCCACCAAGCAGAATAGCAAGGGTATCGTTCGCCATATGATTCGATTTGAAGAGCTTCGATTCGATCGGGTCGTTGGCTTTGTGTGCCTGGTGTGCCTGGTGCCTGGTGGGGCCACTGGTGTGCATTTTCATGGCGTGTCGTTATAACTATTCCGTAGTGCCCGGTCGCGACGCGCCACATAGCGTTTGAGACGTCAGTTATCCACGCCAGGGTGGGGGTCTCAATCAACTTCGCCGTGGTGGGGACTGAGAAGGGGACTTCTTTGGCCACACCAGGTTATCTCGGAAACCAAGAAAGTAAGAAAGACGCAGAAATAAGCAATGGATCGCTCGCTATAAAATCCTTCAGAATCATCAAGTTCATTTTCGATCAGATCATCGCTGAGGTTACTGGAGGTCACCAAAAGTGAAATTATCACGATTTTCGTTCCCCGACTTTACCTCTCTGCCCTTACTGTAATGGGCAGAGTGCAGGTGATGGCCGAGTTCACTGAAATTGGCCTCACTTGTCATGAAATGTCACCTGCATCATCTTTTCGACGATAATTTTTTATGAAAACATGAAATTTGAATTTATATCAACTT